ATTTTTTTGTGAACCTTCTAATTCACATTGAATGGTGTCATCAGACCATACTGCTATCAATTCATATACTTCATCATCTCCCCAGTTCCTTCCCCTGCTTTCCCTGGCCTTGTTATGGTCGTCAGTCACAGCCAACACCAGTTTTTCATCAACACTAGCTGAGGTCATTGCACCACTTTGAACCGCCATTTACATATAATTGAAGGGTGTGGTAGTTAAAAATTATTCTTTAGCATTGGGTGACCTGGGTCACATTGGCTGAAGCGTTTACACTTAGCCAGATCTAAGCCAGTCCCGGGCCAGACCTTGACACGAAGTCAGGGCTATAATTTACCCTGGTCCTAGCACGGGCAAGTGTTCACATTGAAGGTATTAGGTCAAAATTGGCACGTGTTAGCTTTATCCTGGGCTAAATGATGTAATGTAAACGGGGTATTTGATTCAGATTAAATATTAATTGTTTGGGAATGTCCTATCACACCCTTCTTTTTTCTAGACGCCATATTTAAATTAAATGTGCATGCGCAGTGTTGCCATAGCTACTGTACTGTAGTGTAGTCTGTTCACTCTATTTTTGTTGTGGTCTTTGCTGAGGGTTAGTGTGTCCACTGCTCAGACAAAGAGATCACCAGTTCTTTTACTACTAATAGGTTAATTTTTAATCTAACTATTAAATTTATAATTTATTTCTAAATTTGAGTGAAGATAAGGTTACAGCTGATCAAAAGTGGCTACTGAACTTTATTTTGTCACCTGCTTCTGAAGTACTGTATTGTATTCTTTTTGGTGCAACTATTATAGAGATAAATGTGATACGATGATATGTAGCAGCAGAGTGTATGATAATGATAATGTACATCCTGCATTCTTGGTGTTATGGTACATGTACTTTTTTCTAGTTTCAGTGTTAAGAGTAATTTTATTTGCAATAATTGTACAAAATGGAAGCAAAAACGGAAGAGCAATTTTTGTGGTAATAATCTAAAAAAAACAATGGAACATTTTGTAGATAATAATAGATTAAATGCCAGAGCATACTATAAAAGACAGTGTAACAGGGTCACAAGCAAAGCAAGAATTGCTTATAAAATCAGTAAAAATAGAAGCTACCTTATTCGAAGCAGTTTCATGCATTAAAAATTGGTACAATAAAAACAACGATGAAATAAATATAAAATTATTACACTATTGGCAAAAAATGTATTCCCAAAATACCCTAAATAGAAAAATGTCTAAAAATGTTATGAACAAAATCTGGACCCACACTGACAAAACTCTGAAAATGTAGCATGAGTGTAGAGACGCTATATTAAAGATAGATATTTAAAATTTCAATTATCTGATAACGCAATCGATTAGTTAATGGTGGCACACTAATCCAGGAAATCAAAGCAGTCTAAATTAAGATTATTACAAATGCAATTATAGTCACATATTGTACAGATTACGCTCAAATTACTCATTGCGTGCACCAAATAGTGAAGCAAAGGAATAGTATTGTATTAAAATTAAAGAAGCATTAAAACTACAGCCCAGTGCATGATTTTTTGCCATCAGGTGTGATAGGTGTAAATTTTGAGAACACTATGTAACAATAAACGTAATGCTGCTTCATGCATACGCAGCAAAAAATCTTATTAAGATCTTACGAGGTTGTTAAGATATCAGCTTAGTCTTGTAAAAGTAACTGTAGATATTGCTTGAATAATATTATAGAAAATAGTTTGTTACACATGTTTTTATGTGATACATCTTTCATTAAATTGTATAGGACAGTTTTGGCATGATATTACGCATATTCTAGCATAATATTGTTCATTACATTCTATAATGAGTTTTGGCATTATCTTACACTTGTTCTTACATGATGAGTCTATCATTAAATTGTATAAAGCCTGGTTCACAATATGACGCTAGGCCAAGGTACCGTCAATTTTTAATTAAAAGTGTGGGCGATTTGACCTTTTGACGCATGCTTTCCGCTAAAATCGATCCAGATTCGATTCTAGTGTCAACGAAATGCCAGGGTTAGCATAACATTGTGAACCAGCCTTAAGACAGTATTGGTCATATATGTTTTTACATGATACATCTTTTATTAAATTGCATAAGATAGTATTGGCATGATCTTACACATGTTCTTACATGACACAAAGTAATAAATGGTGTGACTTCCAAAGGAAGAAATTTGCAACAAATTGGAAAAGCATAAAATAACCACCATGCTCTATATTCAGAGGCTTTGTAAAATGATATTAAATCCAATGGACGTGGTTGCCGTTGAATCTCCTTCATTGATTTTATCTTTAAGAGCAAGGCATTTAATTTTTTTGAGACTAAAAGGATGGCTGTGAAACTTGGAATCAAACCACAATTTCATTAATTGTTTAAAAATCCCCTCTAGTATTGAATGCATGTAATCTATTAATAAGCATTGTGGTAACTCAATTGTATCTGCTGGCATTGCTTTACTTTTAATGCCGTATTGCACCTGACCTGTTCTATTCGCTTTTTTGCCAAATCCTCAAATCCTTTGTTACTACGTAAATTGTGGGCCATATCTTGGTGATAACTATAGGCACAGTTCTTTATCTCACCTTTGTCATAGCAATACAAACAGCCATATTCTTCATTGAACTTCTTCATGTTAAGTGCTTTTGATTTAGCTGGCTTGTCAAAAACAGCAAACAATAGCATGCGTTTTAAGGGCACAGAAGATTTGTCAACTTGAACAGGAACTCCATCCATTTAAGGCTTGTAATAGATTGTAAAACTCGCGGAAGAATAATTTACAAATTTGAAAATGTAGGCCCCTGCCATAGTGCCGCTACAATTAAATTTTCAACTTTCATTTGTTGACTTGGTTTTATACTAGAAACCATGAGATAGATGCGCCAAGGACTTCCTTTACATGATTTGTAAGCTGGAACACTGTCAGAACAAAGAATTAAAGCTGTATATTCAGATTTACTGAGAAAACCTCCATAAGACATCATATTTTTATAGCAGCACCATTGTGTGTGTCATCTAAAAACTGAGATCATTGGACATTCTCAATTGGATAGCCAAAGTGATCGTGTTGTTCTATATTTAAAAAATTATTATAAATAGTACTTTTTATGTATTTATTTACAAACAGCTGTTGCAGCCTATTAACCAGATACAATACAGCCAAATCACACACTCCAGCTTTCTTCTTAACACAAATACTAGTTTGACATTTCTTCGTATCATCACTAACACTAGCCATACAATTTGAACTGTGGCCACTAGATTGACTAGACATCTTGGAACAGGAGCCAGAAGGAATGAAGCTAAGGACAGTGACACATCAAACAATGAAGGTTATTGCCATTTCATGATTGACTCGTATTTTAATTGTATTTATACATGTACATGAGGAACCTATGTCAAGTAGAGGAAGAGGTATTAAAACATTTGGAACTGGAATTAGCAAAAGAGGAAGTGTCATTAAGACATTATTTTTGATAAAGGTTAGTATTCTTCAGTTAATGCAATGTATATGTTTAATGACATTATTAACAGTTTGGAGTTGCTGCAACTCGTGGACGAGGTAGAGGAAGAGAAACCGATATGTCTTATAATAAAAGTTAGTATTTTAAAATCAAGACATGTACTGATTTAAGTAACATTATTAATAGTTAGAGCTATTGCAACCCGAGGAAGAGGAAGAGGAGCTGTTGGTAGGACATGTATTTCTGATAATAAAGATACAAGTATATTTTTATATTATTTGTTTTTCGTAACTTGTGAATAATGCATGATCACTTATGTTTTAATTTTATAGATGAAGCAACTCCAACAAGTAAAACAAGAACTGTGAGTAAAGGTTACTATTCTTTCATTAATATAGACTTGTTGCAAATAATTTGTTTTAACAGTGGGAAATTTAGCTGTGTCTAGAGGAAGAGGAACTGTTGGAAAAGGTATTTCAGACATGCATAAATATTTTTAATTTTAAAGTAATATTTAATTAGTTAAAGCCATATCAAGAGTGGAAGGACAAATTATCAAAACTGAGGCAATTTGTAAAGGTATTCTTCATTTGTAAAATTTGTAGCAAAAGATGTTTTAATTTTGTAGCGTAAGCAATACCAACCAGATTAAGTAGTGCCAGGAGTCCATTATCTGTTACAAGTACTAAAGGTTACTCATATCCTTTTAATATAGCACATATTTCTTGCTTCTAACAATTGGCACTTATACAACATGGTCTACAAGTAGAGGATCTGTTGGTACAAAGCCTGTGTCTAATAGTAAACATTAGAGTTCTTCAATTGATATGCATTAATGAAACATAAATGATATTTATTTTAGCAGTTGGAGCTAGCAGGACTAGCCTGACTGTTGATCCAGGAGGCACTAGAGAAAAAGAAGTTGGTTGTACTTATGGTAACTAGTCAATTGATGAAAGTATACCGTATGGTTGGTAATTTTTGTAGAGTATTAATTTTCGTTCATTTTGCCATTCATTTTTATCCACCGAATTTTAACCTCTACCACCTGCACACAAGATAACTAATTAACAAACCATATAGAGCGCTATAACTACTATTTTCAAGCCAGTGGAGGAGCCAAAGTCTTTGTCTATTACTCTATATTTTACTACAGTCATGTATTGGAAGCTAGTGCTGTATATAGATCAAAGTGAAAAGGAGTTTGCTAACTGCTAGCCCTGAATATTTGTACCGACAAATATTAGCATTTAAGGAAATTTTTGAGAAAATGCCAAAATATTAGATCCACAAATGTTACCAACCATACAGTATCTGTTACCTTGTAAAAATAATTTGAGTAGCAGTAAATATTATTTATTTTATTTTGTAAAGTATTTTAAACAGTTGCAGCTAAAGGAAGAGAAAGTCTGTATCTGATAATAAAGGTCCGCATTTTTCAATTGGTACATCAGTGACATTATTAATAGTTGGAGCTATTACAACCCGAGGTAGAGGAAGAGGAGCTGTTGGTAGTTTACATGTATTTCTGAAAATGAAGGTACAAGCACATAATTTTTATGACCCCCCCCTTTGCTCATTTATGTTATTTTCTTTTTCCAACAAATGAATAATGATACATGTTTTAATTTATAGATGAAGCAACTCCAACTAGTCAAAGAGGAACTGTGAGTAAAGGTTAGTATTCTTTCATTAATATACATGTGTTGCAAGTGATTTGTTTTAACAGTGGGAGATTTAGCTGTGTCTAGAGGGAGAGGAACTGAGATATTTCAGACATGTATGATTATTTTTAATTTTAAAATAATATTTAATCAGTTAAAGCAATATCAAGAGTTCCTGGAAGGACCAGTTATTAAAACTGAACCAGTTCATGAAGGTATTGTTCATTTATAATATTTGTAGTAAAAGATATTAATGTTTGTTTGTATAGTGCAAGCAACTCCAACCAGATAAAATAGTGCCATGAGTCCGTTATTTCTTGCAAGCATTAAAGGTTGGCTATATACTTGTAATATAGTACACATTTGTTGCTTCTAACAATTGGCATGCACTTATAGAGCAGGGTCTACAAGTGGATCTGTTGGTAAAATGCCTGGGTCTGATAGTAAAAGTTA